ACGGCGCCCGGGTTTTGTGGCGCCAGCGGATGTGAAGGTGAAACTGGAGGTCGACCGGCAGAAGAACCGGCTGCATGCTGTCGACGGCTTTGCGGATGCCCAACGGGCAGCCGAGAAGGGGAATCTCGAAGAGGCACGCGCGATTCTGTCGAGCACAAGGTCATCTGTTTCGGCCTCGGCGTCGGGCCAGGCGGGAGATGGGCTCTTGCTGCAGCTTGAGGCGGAAATGAGAGAGACTGAGGAGAAAATGGGTTCTACGAGGACGTACGATCAGCTGGGCCGGGCCTATGCCCTGTCGAGTATGAGTGCCCACGCGATTCAGAGGGCCTCTACCAGGTCTGGTACTTCTGGGGATGCCTATGTGACCCCTAATATGGCTAATATGGTGAGCAAGTGTCATCAAGTCGTCAAGATTGAACATGTTAAGAAGGAAGAAGATTAGACTCTCGTTTTCTTTTCTCATTATGGATATTGCTTAGGTTATGCGCTGGACAATATTTTACTTCGGTCCCTTTTGATATCCTATGTACCAATACCTTTTGTTTAAGGAGTACTTTTGGTGCAGAATAAATTATTAGTATTATTATTATTATAGCAATTAATATTATTTAATAATTAGTAGTTAGTTTGAAAAGTAAACTAGAGTTTAATTTGAGAGTCTTACTTAAGCTCTTCTGCTTTGTTATTAGAGGGTGAATTGATAATAAAATATTGTTGAGTTTTGTGAGTTTTACTGAGAGATATTCTCGTTTATCTTTCTCATTCATATGTTTCCCTACATCAGTTGGTATCAGATTTCAGCATGATTCAAAATGCCGCCGAGGAGGGACGACATCGATGGGCGTGATCCTAATATATAGTCTTCTGATCTATCTCCTTATCTTACTAGGCAAGGTATAATAATAATAATAATAATAATAATAATAATAATAATAATAATAATAATAATAATAATAATAATAATAATAAAATTCTCCTATCAAATAAAGGCAACAAATAAAAGGAAGTAAAATAAATAATAGATGCAATAATATATTTTCTAGACCCTGAGCCGATTGTATCTTGCCAAATATGCCAATGCGATCTCGTCGCCATCATAATCTTCATGTTCGATTGGGGGAAACGCCAGTTGTGGAGACATCACCAACGAGAAGGAGTTGGATTCAAGGGTGAATCTTGCTCAACCGGGGAAGAATGGTGCAGAATAATTATGATTATTATTATTAGAATTAGTATTATTATGATTATAGCCATTAAATTATTTAATAATTAGTAGTTAGCTTGGAGAGTAAGATCGGATTTAGTTTGAGGGCCTTATTTAAGAGGCTCTTCAGTGATATTGTTGAGTTTTTGTGAGTTTTATCGAGAGAGTATCTCGTTTATCTTTTGTAAGAAAAAAAATAGTTTTGTACCGATTCAACGGTTTCATTTTTTGTAAGTGGAAAACTTAATAAATTCTCAAGACAATTTTAAGGTGAATGAGAAATTAATTCTAAGGTTATATGTAAAATTTAGTTCAAGTAACTTAAAGATTGTAGGGTTTACAAACATTCTATTTTGACAAATGTTTGGACAAACTAAATGGGTCATAATCATGCATTATGTTTGCTAAAATTGTAGAGGGGCTCGTTGGAGACGAGTAGGAAAAAGCGAAACAAAATTCCAAGTCCGAACGAGTGC